GCATGCCTATAATGTCAGCGCTAGGAAGGCTGAAAATTAACAGGATCACTATGAGTCCGATCTGCATATTGACTTCCTGTAACAATCAAATACATTAAAAAAAGTCTCCAGGAAGGGATGGTTTCCCCTTTTAGTTACCATTACTTTTGTCAACAGTGTGTTAGGTCATTTACACTATCTCCTGCTTCTTTACAGATTCTGATCAATAGTATGTTTTCTTTTTCAAATTTAATTTAATTTAATTTTGAAGCATAAAAACAAAAGCAAAAACAAATAGCAGAATGAAAGACAGAAACAGGGTAACATAAAATACATATGCTATAGATGTTCAAAACAAGAATAGCTAATTAACAATTGCTCTATTATCTATTTTTATCATCAAGTTTGTGCTCATATAGACAAATGTAGTTATCCAAGTTTGGACAAATAATTTAATATTACTGCTTTGTAGACTATTTCTTTAGAAATTTGTTTCATTTCCTTAGATTGAGGATAGATAATTTTTTTCTAACAGTTGTTGAATTGATTTCTCTTGGTCCCTTGCTATTTTTTAAAAGAAATCTTTCATTCCATGATTGCTAACTGCAGCCCTGTCTTCTAGATCTGCTATTGTGTGCTCACTTTGGCTGATTCTGGTGTGTATACTTTCAGTAGAGTTTTATTTTTTTGGATGTCTATTTCTGGATTCCATTCCAGAATAATGGGTTCCATCTTTTTCCTTGGTTGGGTAGTCTTTGTTTGCATCTTTTTCATAAGCTCCTCTTTTTATCTTTATCTGTCCAGATTCACTAACTATATTCTTTATTATGTTGATCATCTCTTTAGTTATCTGAGAAATTATTTCTCATTTGATTTTATTCTGGAGCCTCATTCATGTGCTTTGTTACTGCTGGTGTTGCTGTGTCAGCGAAGCCGGTCGACTGGCTCATGTATCATGTCACCACATTGTCACCTCAGTTTTCCTTTTCTGATCTGGGAATTGGGGATTGCACGTTTCTTCTCTTCTAATTGTTCCCTATACTTTTAAGTTTAATTTCTCCACATCACTTGTAAATTACTTTTTGTAAACAGCTTTTTTGCTAGTATCACAGACCCTCAGGAAATATTTACTTTTCAGAGGTGTCTTTCAGGTACAGTTGGCTTTTGGCTTTTGAGTCTGTTGGGATGAAAAGTTGGTGAATGGCTTGCTTGGTCCCCGGTTCTTTGGCACTGACCTGCTCTATTTCTCATGAACGTCATGCAACCTCAGTCTTAGAATTCAAGGGAGAACAACTGGTTTGGAGAACTCTGTCACCTGTGCTAAAGTGTAACAATCAAGCACGGCTCATAACATGACAGTGGTAACTACTAGTGTTCTATCTTTAACCTTATGAAGAAGACTGCAGTTATATGACAAAGAATAAAGCGAAGCAGCACATTTTATATAGTAAGGACTCCCTCAATGTGGTGGTTTTAGCATTAAGAAAGAAAATAGAAAATATATTAGGGGAAAACAGACAAATAGGACATGAGAAAGTGATTAGAAGCAAGGCTCAAGGAAAAAGTAAGCTTACACAAGCCTTGGGAAACAGATGAAGAAGAAGAAAGGGGAAAAGTAGGAGGAAACAGAAATAAGAACAGAATAAAACAATGATAAGACTAGAAAAACTTTTCACATTCATATGCAAACAAGAACAAACCATATAGAAAAAAGTGAAGGAAAAGAAAATGTCCACATATGGGCATGTTTCTATTGTCACTGGTAGACAAATGTGTCAGGTAGAGCCCAGATCCATGTCGGTTGACCCCAGAAATCCTGCAGTAGAATTACAGTGGATAGATGGTGGATAGAATTTTAAATTTATGTAAAATTAATAAGAGTACAATAGAGATTTCTCATTGACAATTTGATAATATTTTTGTAATTACTGCCATATCTTGTCTTTGAAGTTTTTCTATTTAGTCTAGTTTATACATTTTTTCAAACAAGCTAACTAGCTTGAATTTTTCATCAAATTACAGTTTGTACACCAGTGAAGGTTTTCTTTCTTTCTTTCTTTCTTTCTTTCTTTCTTTCTTTCTTTCTTTCTTCTTTCTTTCTTTCTTTCTTCAGTACTGGCCATTGAACTCAGGATCCTGCACTTGCCAGGCAGGTACAAGTGAATAATTTATATGTACAGTGTTGTGAGAATTTAATACATCTCTTTTAATCATAGTACAAATAATTTGTTTTAATCATAGTACAAATAGTTTGCTCTTTTCATATTATGTATGCTTATTTCTGTTATTCTGCTGAATCCCACTTACTTGAGTCAATTTCATTCTGCGCCTTTATTTTTATCATGTATAGTTCAACTAAATAATACCTGATAAACAAGGCTATTTTCCCATGAATTAAATATTCATTGTAGTGGGCAAATCAAATGAATTCTCAGAGTAGAATTCAGAAAGGGCTACTGAGTATAGGAAAAAAAATGTTCAACCTTATTGGCATTAGAAAAATGCAAACTGAAACAACACTAAGATTCTATCTTAATCCAGAAAGAATAACCATCATCAAGAAGTCAAAAATAAAAAAAAAAATTGTATGGCTGGGACGAATAAAGAACCCTAATTTTTCTATATGAAGAAAATGCATTTGTAACTACTTTTAAGAGAACAATGTGCAATATAACAACCATTGTTGAACTGTTATCATCTTGGTTATTTTGAAATTCTGTACCGTTTCTAATGAATTTACTATTTTTCATTTTCTATAAAATAAAAATTTAACTTAAATTTACAGAAAGTCTTGAAAAGTTAGATAAATTATATATATAATAATAAATGTCTCCTGGATATTATTGGCTACATGCAATTTTTAAAAATATGACTATTTTCTCTTAATTCATTGACAAAGAGGGCCTGTGTTAATATATCCTTGTTTATTCTTTGTAAGAGAACCTCGTTCTTGAGGTCTTGTATTTGGAGACAATGCTGAAGATAATACACAGTATATTACTGTTATTATAGTCCTATTTTATTATATTTTTAGTTTTTCATACAATAAAAGTATTACAATTGTATTTTACTATATGATCATGTTGTGCAGAAAAATATATGAATTTTATATATGTCTTTTTCCCCAAAGTTCTTTGGCTGTTCTAATTTTAAGGAGACATTGAAACATTCAAATTACTCTAAGGTGTTTTCCTTTTCCAAGAGACTCACTTAACCTGGGCGTTTAAAGCCTACGGAACTGATTATTATTTTCTGACAATGTATACAGTGCATGTGTTTGGGAAAGGCCAAGTCCCTTACAGAGATTACCTGAGCTGTGAGAGTATACACAAGAAAAAAAGGAGCAGTAGGAGGCAGCCACTCCTGTGCTCCCTGGAAGAGAAATAAACTTTCTTCAAACTTTTGAAATATCCTGAAGTCTGGTCACACTTTTCATCTGACAGGTTGCCTCTCCTTCACTCCACAGGTTGTGTCTGGTTGTCCTGGGCTTCCTTCTGCTAGAATCCTTTTATGATGATTTAACTGAAGCCATCATGACTCTCATGCTGTCTGTTAACAATGTTGCATTCATACTCCTTCCTATGGTTTGGTTCTAAACCCCCATTACACATGCAATGTTCAGAATCCACCCCAACACTTTTATGAAATGGAAACTTGGATAGCAGTAATCAGTACACTCATGGTCATTGCCTTACTAGACAAAAGCTTTCTTTCCACTTTCAGTAAGTGCCATTAGTAATTATTTCACTTTCACAATTTTCAGGATGGACAAGACTACCCTGAACCTTTCACAAAATAACTTTACAGACCTGTGATTATTTGGTGAAAGCAATAAGCATCAATCATCAATCTTTAAAATTTTACATTAAACAAATTGATCAATAGCATCTAGCACAAATCTGAAAAATTGTGGGTGGAAAGATTAGGTTGTAACAGCACCTGGTTTTATTCACAGTCAAATGTGAAGCAAGAAGATTGCTTGAATCCAGGATATGGTCATAAACCATGAAAACAAATAAAACTTTGTATCAAAATATATAGGCATCAGAAATGCATCTAAGGACAAAAATTACAGAACAATATTTTATATGTGGCAAGGCATATGTGATAAGTGATGACACCTTCTGTAGCAGGAAGATGCTGTGACTTGTAACTGTGCTCTCCTTGTTCCAATCAAAGGAAGCTACTATGGGAAAACAAAAATGGCCAGAGGACATAAGCAGTCATTCTTCCACTGGGATTCTCTTTTCTACACTAGTGTGAACAATTTTGGTATTTTCTGAATCTATGAAACATTTTTATTAATAACTTCAAAAAAAATAACTTCAGCTGTAGAACTCATATGGTAATATATAAGAACAGAAGATGTGCATGTGAAGCAGAAAAAAATTACATGGTTAACATTCATAGAAAATTTCCTTTTATTTCTGGTTTGATGTCCAGTCCCAGAAGGCATGCAGCATCCCAGAAAATACGATATATATAGACATCGATATAGATATAGATATAGATATAGATATAGATATAGATATAGATATCTGAATACCCACAGAGAGAATCTGCCTAAGCAGATTAGAGAGTGAGGGGTTAAGAAATTCTACGCATGATGAAGGAACTATTATAAGACCTTGGACTTTATATGAAACTGATATTTTACTTTGTCCTTACCGTGTTGAATTCCGTGCCATATCTTGGATTGACTTTGTGCTGCACATAACTTAATGACTGCATTGTCAGCTAAAATAAGAACATGCACCTATAACACGATGAAAGAAAAGACGATGTCTTCCTTTGGTTTTAACCTTGAAGGAGATTAAAACAAGAAACAATGATTATCGTTTTCAACTCTCAAACGTGAGAAGGAAAACAGAAAAAGCAACTATGAATAGTTCTGTGGAAGAGTGGGAGTGCAAGATAGGGCAATGACACAGTTGGTATCAGTCACCCATGCTTAGACTTCCAAGTATGATTCATTCTGATGGTCAAACAGAAAATGAGTAAATGATGAAACAGGCTCTTACTGCAAGATAAAGATGTCCTTGCTAGGCTTCATATCAGTGACACCAGTGAAGTACATACAGGTGTAGAGTGAGAAGAAACCCCCAATTATCACATCTCCATCCTGGTGCACACTGGTGCTCTTTCTGCGAAGGCAGTCATCGTTAGCCAAAGTGCCTGCCAAGAGGGACAGCTGCAGGAAGAGGCGGGTGGTGCTCAGAGAGAACATCTTCTGAGTGTCTGCAAAGCTTAAATCTGAGTGAAGGTGGAACTGTCAAGGTGACTCTGGCGAATATTAAATGGATGGATGGATGGATGGATGGATGGATGGATGGATGGATGTGTGGCAGTTTATTTGGATCAGGGTGCATGCATTTAATACTACTGAGTTCTTTCAGCCAAGCCTCTTCCTTGCCTCTGGAGGAATTTCCCATCATTTTTCCCTGAAGCTCTGCATCTGTGGCCTGATGTCCAGGTAGAAAGTTGGAAAATGTTTAAAGATCTCCTTTTCCACTTCCAAGCACCAATATTTCATCCAACACCACTTATAACAGTTCCCAAAGGCCTCCTTCTCCTGAGAATTTGTTCTATGCTTGTGTAAGCAGACTTTGCACAGACATCCTTTGGGATGGTGTAAAAGCATTACACCACAGGATTCAATATTATGTGTCTCTGGAATGACCCGATGAGGCCCATTCCCATGAAGACTATGCACTATTTCTCCACGTGTTTGATATAGGAAGTTCCAGCCATGCACAACCAGGGCTAATTGCAGTACTACCACCTATATATCGCCCATACTTGTCTGAGTACCAGTTTTATGTGCCAAAATATAAATTTCCACCCACATACCTTTCCCATTGTCTGAGGAACCAGTAATTGCACTGAAAGTGGGTCTTCTTCCACCTATTCAGTTCTTTCCAAATGCAATTACATGGCTTCCTATATTTTAATGGCCCCTTTCTGAAACCTCAACAAGGGGCAGTCCATCAATATTCATATGTTATTTATATGTTTCGAGAATACGTGATTATGTGGGTAATTGTGCACTTTTCATCACAAAAGAAAGGAACAAACTGGGACTGGGGAGATGGCTCAGTAGAATAAGCCCTTCCCTGGCAAGAGCAAGGGCCTGAGTTCAACCCCTGGTTCCACAAAAAAAAAAAAAAAAAAAAAAAGGAACAAACTGAGAAAGTAATTCTTTATTTTCTACTACCAATATTATTTCAGAAGAATATGACAGTTAGACCTGTACAGCACTAGAGTTCAAGGGAGTATTAAAAGCAGGAAAATTATTATTTATAATCCTGTATTGTCGATGATATGAAATTTTACATTTGTCGAAAATCTAAATAATATTCAGCATAAAGAGTAAGCCCTTCAGACCCAGCCCAAGCCCAGGCCCAACGAGTGTGTGGGAGAGCTTCTGCGCTCCCTTGCACCCGCTGGACCCCTCTGGACCCTGCCCAGGACTAGCATGTCAGGTAGAATTTCTGCCGCATTCTTGGAACCCATCCAGACCCAGCCCAAGCCCAGGTACTGTGTGTGTGGAAGAGTTTGCATCTTACCTGTACCTGCTGGACCCCTCCAGACCCAGCTCAGACCCAGAATGTGAATGAGAACTGCTGCTGTGCTCTCAGGACCCCTCTAAACCCAGGCCAAGCCCAGAACCAGCGACTGTGTGGGAGAGCTTCCGCTCTGCCCTGCACCTGCTGGAATCCTCCAGACCCAGTCCAGGCCTGACATGTGAGTGAGAACTTCCACCATGCTCTTGGGATACTTTCACCCCCCCAGACCCAGCCCAGGACCAGCATGCAAGTGAGAACTTCAACCACAATCTCGGGACCCCTCCAGACCCAGCCTAAGCCCAGGCCCTGTGAGTGTGTGGGAGAATTTTCACACTCCCCTATGCCCCCTGGACCTCTCCAGACCCAGTCGAGGCCCCACCTGTGAGAACTTCTGACATACTCTAGGGATCCCTCTAGACCCAGCCCAAGCCCAGGACCTGGAAGTGTGTGGGAGAACTTCCATGCTCCCCTTTGCCTTCTGAATCCTTCCAGAGCCAGCACAGTCCCATTTGTGAATGAGTCCTTCATCTTTCTCTCTGAAACACAACAGACTTAGCCCAGGCCCGGCATACAAGCCTGGGGTGAAACCCTGCAGCTGAAGTCCCTGTAGTGAGACTAGGAGCCAGAACCACCCAGCTAATCCAGAACATAACATCTTGCCAGAGAGACACAGCAGGTCCAATTCCAAGGGCTGCAAGAGGAAAAAGTTGTGCATAACAGCCAGACCCAAGCCAGGCACAACCAGAAGAAATCAAACATCATAGATCTGCACTCAAATTTCAATAGGTGCTAAGGTTATAACTGTACCAAAGCTCTACACCAAAAGTCAGAGGATACTGCTATACAAAATGAAAAGGGAAGGAGCAAAAGGCAATCTAAGGTCCTTAGCTAACCCAGAACACATGCAGAAGACACTGGAACAGAAGAAATTAGAAATCACACAGATGAAATATCTGAATTAATAGGGTCTGAAGTACAGAAATAACTGAAGAAAGCTATAGAAGAACTCAGATCACAAATAACCTCTGAAATAAAAAAAAATCTCTAAGTTAATAGCATCTGAAGTTGACAATCAAATACAGAAACATATAGAGGAAATCAGATCAGAAATAATCCCTGGAGTAAAAAAAGAAAGAATAACTATAATGAAGGAATAAATAAGTGCTTCTCAAAAAGACATTGATAAAAAAATAGAGGAGATTAGACAAATGATGGAATCCTTGAATGAGAAGTACAGGAAAGAAATAGATTGCATGAATCAGAGTCAAAGAGATATAGAGGAAATTAAAATCACAATCACAAGCTTGCAAAACCATTTAAGTGAAAGGGAAGATAGAGTTTCAGATCTTGACGATGTCATTGCAGCTAGTGAAAAGGTAAGAAAAGATCTCTTAAAAACAACTAGGATGCAGGAAACGATAATACATCATCTGCAAGATAATGCAAATATGAAAAATGCTTCACTAATAGGCATCAATGAGAATGAAGGAATCAATACAAATGATATAGAAAGAATATGGGCAGAAGTAATAGCAGAAAACTTCCCAAATATGAGGAAACAATCTGACATTCAGTAACTGAAGCATAAAGAACTCCAAATAGCTTCAACCCAATTAAAAATACACCGAGACATATAACAGCCAAGACCCCAGAAATCCAGCACAAGAACAACATACTGAAAGCCACTAGAGAAAAGAAACAGATCACATTTAAAGGAAAACCCATCAGAATAATGGCAGACTTCTCTTCACAAACCATGAAGGCAAGAAGATCATGGAGAAGAATATTTCAAGTCCTCCATAAAAACAAATTCTAGCCAAGACTACTATACCCTGCAAAACTCTCCTTCAAGTTTAATGGAGAAGTGAAATACTTCTATGACAAAGAACAACTAAAGAATTTCATGACAACAAAGCCAACCCTACACAGACAACTGAAAGTTGTTCTAGAGAGGTAACAAACTGATCAGAACCCCATGAATGAGAACAGGAGGAACCCACTAAATAGGACAAACAATTAAAAATAACATATAAATCATAAGTCAATACATCTCAATTATAACCATCAATGTAAATGGACTCAACTCATGAATTAAAAGAATAGACTGGCACAGTGGATTAGAAAACAAAATCCAACAATATGCTGTATACAAGAAACACACTTAAATCACTAAGAAATTCATAGGTTGGAAGTCAAAGGATGGAAAACAATACTACATGCTCAGCACCTCAGAAAAAAGCCAGGGTAGGAACCCTGTTCTCAGTCAGTCTCAACTTCAAACCAAGAATGATTAAATGAAATAAAGAAGGACACTGTATACTAGTTAGGGGAAAAATTCAAGAGGAAGAAGAAAAACACATAAACATGTACGCAACAAACATGGAACACCAAACTATTTAAGACATATCTTAATAGACATGAAAAATCTAATATTCAGTTCCACAATTTTAACGTGAGACGTTAAAACCCCTTATCCCTAAAAGATGGCTCATTTTCTAAAATAGACAACATACTAGTCCATAGGTCATGCTAAAGTATATGCAAGAAAACAGAAGTTATCCCACATATATTATCTGATCACAGTGTAATGTAACTGGAAAAAAACTATAAAAAAAATCAGAAAATATCAATAAATACATGGAAATTAAATAGCACCCTCCTTAGCAACCGATGGGTCACAGATGAAATTAGACAAGAAATTGAAAAATATCTTTCTTCAGTGAAAATTCAAGGACAACTTATCGGAATTTATGGGATTCAATAAAAGTGGTTCTTAGAGGGAGATTTATAGCTTTGAACTCACATTAAGAGAAAAGAACGGGAACAAATAAACATGCTAATGCTGCACCTTCAACATCTAGAAAAAGGAAGAGCAAACCAAACCAAAAGTCCAAAGATGGAAAGAAATCATAAAGATTAGAGCAGAAATTACTTCAATAAAGATGAAGCAAACAGTTCAAAGAATGAAGAAATCAAAAAGATTCTTGATTCTTTGAAAGATTAAGTAAAATTGGTAAGCCCCTAGCTAACCTCATCAAAAAGAGGAAAGAAAAAATTCAAATACAAGCAATAAGGAATGAAAAGGGTGTAATTACCACAGACCTACTGGAATTTCAGAAGATTGTCAATAGCTACTTCGAGAATCTTTACTCTCACACAATAGAAGACACAGACAAAATGTACAGATTCCTAGAAAGGTACAAATTACCAAAACTGAATCAATATATAATAAATCTCAATAACCCCATAACAACCAATGAAATATGAAATGTAACAATAGCTGCCGAGTTCCGGGAGCCCCCAGACCCAGTCCTAGCCCAGGGCCGGTGACTGTGCGGAGAGTTTCCTGCTACCCTGCGCCGGCGGGACCAGTCCCAGCCCAGGCGCAGCGTGGGCTGGACCCTCTCCCACCCCCTCGGGCTGCCCCACAACACTCTGCCATAACTCCCCACCCCTCCTGCCGAGTAGGAAATTCTGCCGACTTCCGGGAAC